AGGGGGGGGGGGGGGGAGGTTAGAATACACGAAACACATGATACCGGTTTGGCGACTAATGACATCAACACAGGAACAATAAAAAAACAAATAAAGTTTGAAAGCACAAATATTTTCTCTTCTTAATTCTAAACTGGTTGCAAGCTTGATGTTCAAAACATGATAGCTACCCACCATTTCTCGGGAACTTTTAGCACGTTCGAACGAACCCTCCGTTGTATTTATGTCCATCTCCCTCTGTTTTCCTGACTAAGAAAGCAAGGAACATGATCTTATTTTTCGTACTGCGCTGGTTTCGTACCAGTTGGCGCTCGTTGCGAACTAACCATCTGAGGGTAGTTCCACATTAGCACGCAGTATGCATTTGTACAGACGGTCTAAACTCCGATTCCGTAGGACACGGAATCAAAAGTGAAACTGAACGGGACGGTGCAGTGTGTGTGAGTCATTAACATTCAATTAATGGGAGGACGGACAGGCACATGCGCCGGCAGTTGTAGAAATGTAACAATCGATCAATCGATCGATAATCAAATACTTGGCCACAAAAAAGGTGCGTTTGGATCTCTGTGGCCTCAGAATTACCGTAATTAGTTTACTTTCAATCAAAAATGGGGTTAGTTGACTTACTTAACGAAGATAAATATATTGTGCATCGTGAACGTGTCACTCACAACTAAGTACCGCCCTATTGTTCCAGATCTGCCGAATCCATTGAGGTTTGAACTCAAAAAGGTGAAAGTGTAAAGCCGGCACACAACATACGTTTAGCCGGTTCAGACTGAACCTTAGTAACTGGCGTTGTCGGAAAACCGAGTGACCCATTACTCATGTTTCAATGTCATTCCAGCAAACAGTGATGGACTGCTTCCCGCGTCATCAACAGTATACCAGAAGTTTTTACCTTACAGCATTTGGCTTGAGTGATCTGTTTCACTTAGCAAACAAGAACTCATTTTGCGTCGTCACTGTGGCACTTGCTACTGTTGCATTATTTCGTATTCCAGTTTGCAACGAATAGTTGAATGGGAATTCGCTCTCTCTCTCTCTCTATCCACGATCTAGTTAGGATTGAAAGAAGCATTGAATAATTGGTGTGTTTGTGTTGTTTTGCTCGAAAAGCTTANCTTAAAAGGCAGAAGGCATGACATAGTTGAACACATGATCACGGAAATATTCAGCCCGTTTTCGCTCATATCTCACAATTTCGTCCTTTGGGGTGTGAACATTAGTCAGTTCATATAAGAAAAGGTTTGACCATGCATAAATGAACACAATTCAGTAGGCATTGTAACTCAAATCGTCTGAAGATTTATAACTGATGTTATAAAAGTAAAACAAACCGTTTATAGTTTCTTGAGGTACTCGAGCATATGACTTGGGCAGCTAGTCTATGTCGATCGACTCTCTCTCTCTTGGTGGATGTGTTTGTGTGAGCACAATTCGACTAAACGCTTCTGTGAAGTGGCCAAACATCATTCGTGTTCGACAACTTATTTTCAATAAAGCAAACTACTGACATGTATACAGTAGGTTAATTTTAACTTGGGTAGACATCAACAGCCTTCCCCGCTCCCCCACCCCCCACCCCCCACAGCCACACACAGTTCGGACCCGAGTTACTCGACATTTTCGTGTAGACGAGCGATGGTAACAAAAGGCTAGTCTGTCTCTTTCCCTCGGGAATTGGTACCGTCGTAAGACAATCGATTCACCTCTTCGTTGCCACTTTCTGAAAAGCCACTAAACTACCAGTCTTGGATTCGCAAGGTGTAGCTGTGTGCTGTTGTTGATCCCCTGGGATTTGATATCTGTGGTCCAGCTTAGCCACAGTGATCAGACATTCCAATATGATCGACATCCGGGCGGACCACTCGCCTATTTACGGAACACTTTGTGTGCGCCCGCGTATGTGTGCCTATGTGCGTCCGAAGTGGCAGAAAAGGCCAATAAGAAATTCTAGTTTCGCTTAGATACAAATCACATTTCAGTTGAAGTGTTTTCCTCCTCAGCGGACTTTGGCTGGAACATCGAGGAAGTCGGAAGAAGATTTGCGGTGTCCACAAATCAATTGAAAACGAGGAATGTATATATATAAGAACCTTTGTTGCCCAGTGCTTCAATAATCCCAAGTCTACTTACTGGCCTCTTCAAGCCGAAGTAGTCCAGGTGAGCCCGCAATCGAAGTTAGTTCCCGAGCAAATGAATTCGAGCATGTGACGTGAGCTGCATCGGATCGGATTGCATCGCATCGCGTTGTATCACCCTATTGTTCCTTGGCGGCTAATCAGTGGAGCAATCAGCACTGGTCCGATGAATGAGAGGACACCTGTGGTGATTTCGATTATTTTTAGAAGCTAAGTTCTGGGCATAAACCCGTCAATGGAACACTGAGGAGAGAAGAGGAAACGGGGGGGAGGAAAGGGGGGAAGGAGGAAGGGAAAGAACAAAACGAGTACTTGGGGTGGAAGTGGGTTCATTCGAAGGGACCGCCATCTAACGTCTTTGGGTGTTGTTAAAACAACTATTGCGAAACTACCAGATGGATCACATGATTCTGTTCTCCGATTAAGTGAACAGACCACCGCATTAGTTGTATATCCCCATGATGTTCCATATTACAATCGCGAGATTCCCAACTCAGCTGGTTTCGGTAAGCAATCATTTTGCGTCATCAAACTGTACCTTTCTGTGCGAACGAACAATGCATATGTAGAAGAGGGTGTAGAAGTTCCTGGGCTGATATGAGTGTAAACATGAAACATCTGTTATCGACCAGTTTGATTTAGTAAAACACAAACAGATGCCCGACACCGATTTCTGTTTGGTCCTGAGTACAAATCCCGATGGTTTTATGACTTGCATATAAAAACTGTCGGAGTTAAAACGTCCATCTTGTTATCGGAAATTTAAAAGTAATATGTAAAACAACTCACAAATTTTAATTTCAGTCACTAATTCTATTGAGCCAGACAATTTATCGCACATGTATGTCACAATCAAACTCCTCATAAGGTATTCCATTGACGGTGGCGGACAGTTTTACCGCATTCTGTGCCCGACTGGGAATTACATAATTTAATCGATTCAGCCACGGCAAATTCGAATGGTTCAGGTGAATTTTAAATACTGGATTTAGAGCATATGGTACTAAGAGTTCCGTATCGGTAGGAATTCCTCTAGTTTCATAAATACATTAGGATTCTAATAATTTTATTCCTCTTGCAGGTTCGATTAAAGATCTCCAGGTGTATTTTAGCGATGAGAGCTGTATGGTGTAACTCAATAGTTCATTATTGTGTACTTCAAGTGTTTCAGCTAGAAAATCANAAAATCATCACCCATCTCACTGATATCGCTGGTCTTTGTTTAACCACGGTCTCTTGATCGAAAGTTGATTCTACTTTTGGTCCTTATGAAATAACAGTTTATTGTGACAAAACCATCCTTATCAATACTAAAATCTAAGTGGGACAGGAGGGATGATCGTCTGATCCATTATAAACACTAGAAATATTGTGGATAAATCGGGCGGATCAAGTATGGAAAGTAAACTTATGATCATTTCCGCAATCAGTCAATTCGAATTCAAGAAAATAGGTTCGGAGTGAGGAACAGGAGGGAATCATCCTGAGTGAGGATTACACACCAAGTGGTTCAAACAACATGACTTGCTCACGTGTTGGCCCTAATCACATGGTCTCATAATGAACAAAACATCTCATCTGTCGAGTTAGGCTCCCCCTCCCAACCTCCCTTCTCTTTCTGTGATGCCCTACCGCTCATCCATTCACCCTCCTACCGGCTTGCCGTCTTTCGCTACATCTCCTTGGTCGAGGTGTTTACGAGATGTAGTCCGATGTTTATTTCTTGTCTGTATATGGTTATGACCTCCAAAGGATTCTCACTTTCGCCAAGTTATTCTTTCACCCGGGCACACACATGGTCGTCAATCCCCATTCGAACCTATCCGTAGTCGAAAAACTGGGATTTTTCTCTTTCACGCCCTTGTGTGCTGAGCACCACTTGAAAGGCACAAGCGTGAGTGCTTGTCACAGCGGCCCTTGTTGTTGTTTTCTTTAAGGGATTTTGTGGTGGTGGTCGTCGTGGTCGTGATGATGATGATGATGATGTGTTGGGCGACGGCGGAGCGTGTTTTCGTTGCTATTTTGCCACGGGGCATGATGGCGTGTGTCGAACAAACTTGTTTCGCAAGGACTACTACTCATCTTCGTGTCTGTGTGTGTGCTGGTGTGCAAGCTTGCACATCCCCGAGCGAACAAACGATTGTACACGCACAGACGTACTTACTGACGCATGCATGCACGCTCGCATGCGCGCAAACATCATTTGGGGATGAAGGAAGTGTATGATGTTAGTTTCACACTCAGTTCTCAGTGTGACTGAAATCGTCCGAGGAAAGTTGGTTAACTTGAGCAGTGAGAAGGATCGTGTAAACAGTCATAATAACCGTCAGGTTTGCAGCAAAGAAAATGTGAACGGGATAATGGACGAGCATAGTTTGACTGTTTCAACTTTTTTTAGTATCACCAATAGTACATATTCACCTACCTCGGTGAGAATCGAACCCTGCAGTTCACTGAGAGAGTGAATGCTCTACTTGGTTGGCATCTGCTCAAACTGTTTCAGCTTGCCCATAGATATGATATAACATAAGGTATCCTTGCAAGCTCTTTTATTTAAACATCAATTCCCCGCGATGGTGACGATAGCAGTGGCTCAGTTTATTCAGCTACACAGCTGTTAAACAAGTAGTAGTACGCTTGCGTCCTCCTTTACAGACCCAGGGATCGAATCCCCGTGGCCATGGAACAGGTGTGGAAACTGTTTAATACAGCCGTTCATGGACACATTCTGGTAGATCAGTGCACTATTTTTCATTGGAAACATTCTCATTTAAATCTACAACTTCTTGGGCTAAAGAAAGCTTCAATTCGCTGGAATCTGTTGTAAGTTGTTTTTGTTGTCCTTGTTGTCGTCATTGTCGTTGTTGTTGTCATAATAATATGGGAACGCTAAACTGATCCGTAACGCATCCTAGTCTTCGTTGCTGCCTTCCTCGCAAGGCCTACTCTAAGGCCCTACTTTATCTTCATTTCTAATTTCCGCATACGTTTCTTCTATGCGTATTTCCTCATCTATCCTATCTAGTCTACCTTCTCAGCAAACATATGGATGATGTGACCTTGTCTACTCAAGTTCATCATCTCAGAGCTGGTATGACAAAAATTTTGTATGGTTTTAACAACTGAACCTTGGAATGAACCCAAACAATTGTTAAATCATCATTGTCTCCCTTTTGAACGATAGTAGATAAAATGAACATCCCAAATGTCAGTCCTCCTTATCTACCTTGAATGATCAGAGGGATAAACAGCAACCATGTCAAATACCGATAACCTCACCTTTTTCTGATCACGTCAAAAACGTAGTCTTAAATGTCAGAAAGCTTACGTTTTATTTTTGTGCATCTTAGATCATTTCTATCCCTATTCATCTCCTGAGGCGTTTTGTTTGCGTTTGTGTTTTTTCCCTATTGGCTGTATTGGTCTCCTATTATCTTCCCCGGTCTACATATTTATCTAGATCCCTTAGTTCCCTATTGGTATGTAGCCTCCTCCCTCATCAGGACCTGTTACAGTACATTGTCGTCCGTTAGTAGTGTACCATTTTCTCGGAAGATCTTATTTGAATAATTTCTTACCTTAAATCCTGACCATAGTCGATACCTTTTTTTCCTAACCACCCATTCTCGTTATAAACACATGGAGGCTAACAGGCGTTTCGTTGTTCCCTGATTAGCTAGAATTATCACAAACTCAGAACTCGTTGCCTGTGGTCTATGCAAGATGTTAGACTAAACTGATCATTGTTGCCACAGTATACCAGAGACTTCCTGTTGTTGTTGTTGCTGTTCATTTATGCGGCACTTTCTGTACTGTATATTCCATCTTTTGACACAGTGGTTCTGTGATTTCTGAATATTCACCAAATCGGGTGTATAAAGCAACTTACTGACTTGACTTGCTTATGCAGTGGTTCTTTGAAAGAACTTGCAAGTTTATACAGTGAGTAATACCTTCACTAATCTGTGATCCGGCTTCATGGTTGCACGAGTCAACATAAGATCTCGAGAAGCTGAGGATACAAATCAGTACGATGACGGGGATGGGGGAGAACGAATACTGCGGTGATAAAAAGTAAACGGATACCATCGGATGGAGAGGGAATTTCCCTTATTGGTCGGAACTCATTTTTCAAACCTTGGTTGAAGAGCGATGTCCAAACCAAGATCAAAATAGGGACGCTTTATATTATGCTTGAAGATAGATGTCTCGGTTACCCAGAAGAAGAGCTTTAATTGGAATGAGCTTTGAGGAACCGGAACTGTGGAGATGTTGTCTAAACCAAAAACAAAAGAGGAAGTTCGACATGCCCTTGAATCCATCGGTATCGAGTCGTATGACGGCGGAGCTGCTTTCCATTCAAGTTGTATGACAGTGATAGGGTTTGAACCAGGAACCCTGAGGCCCAAGTCATGCATAAATGATGGTGCAGCAAATCTTTTGACCCCTACCACAATTACATCCATGTTTGTGGTCAAGTGGTAAAGGCCATCAAAATAGTGACCCGGAAGTCCCGGGTTCGCACAGCTTCCCCTCCGTACATCTTCCCCATTTCTGTTTTTTCAAGTAGCCTTTTTATGGCCGCGACCTTCTTCCTGAAAGATGGCTGTACAGTTATATATTTATTACATTAAAAGAAAGTAAAAATACATTTTAATATCATTATAAAAATAAATACGTGCCAATCAATGGGTAGGATCAACAAGGAAGTAGTTTGTTACTTCAGCAAAGCTCGCTCGCGTTATTCTTCGTCTCAATCAGAATCATGTGAAGAATACAAGTTATGTTGCCCCCATGAAGAATTGCCCGGTGGCTGTCAGTCGCCGTCTTGCAATCTGTGAACAACTTCAGCTTGCTTCCAATGCGTTGATATTAGGGGTCTTGAGCCGACTATTGACCAGAAGCAGATTGTGTATGTGACCGATTAGGGGATCACACAGACACACATCGACCCTCGTGATTCCAATTCGATTCCAATTAGTTGCAGTTTGCACAGCAGGGTGCCCATTGGGGAACCCACACGCAGCGCAAGCGCACGCACACGCGCTATTTAGATGACCAATACTCGCACAAAACTGCTTCTTCGTGGGGGCACGAAGAAATCTGAACGAAGAAAAGAGAACAGTCCGGGAATAGAGGCTGTAACGTGGGGGGCTAGAAGCAATGATAGTGGTGGTGTTGAATCACGGTAAACACTTTCTTCCTTGCCAGTCTGTGTGCGCTTGCGCGCCAGCTCGGGAAACTGCCTGCGCAACGCTGTTGAGAGGGCATGTCCCAGCGACTGTGACTGAGATGGATCATCCGGAACCAAACAGTTTGTATGTGTGCATCTACTTTCGTGATCGATGTGGAGAATACAAGCATCTTCTCGCAGTGTCTGTCTGTCCCTCATTCCACTTATCTGTTTTCTGGTGTTTTGATTGCTTCAGTTACATCAGTAGGAAACTGCCACCCTCCCTGGGGGCAGAATATTTCTGTCAGTCCTTCTCATGAAATGCACATGTTCCAAACCCCAACAGGGCTCTTGACTGGACGAGGCCGGAGGGGGTAAGAAATGTTTGAAGATCACTAGACCATTAGACTATCAACAAAAAGGTTTAAACAAATCAGTATCTGAAATTCAACAAACTACCGGATACGTGCTTTGGGGTTTTGACTCCAATTTAATGTACTTCACAGAGGGAAGTCGAATTCTGGTTTATCATCGATGAACTATCACCTGTGTATGTACACTAATGGTATTGGTTTATCAGCATAAAGAAAATCTATGCTCGTTAGCATCACCTGAATGGGGTGCATATCAAAACAACACGCACACTACAACAACTTCTCACTTCGTCTAACCATAGTTCTGCACGGAATGCGAGAAGTCCGTCTGAACCGAAGAGGAAAATGGCACCAAAGAGTTGAGCTATTTCAAATGACGATTGTTCATTTCATTATTAATAAGGGTATAAAAATTGAATATTTGTCGGTCATATTTCTGCTTGCTACCACTACTACTACTACTACTACTACTACTACTACTACTACTAATAATAATAATAATAATAATAAGAATATGAATAATAATGGCATACTACCTATAGAGAGTAAGGAAACAGCTGTTAATTTTTAAAGAGAACACATAACACAACGGTCGTCTATATTCTCGTTTTAACAAAAATTTCTGTTTCTCCTTTGCGAATTCTTCTGTTCATGGGATTCCGGTTTCGATCCTTAATGTCACATGAAACCTGTCCCATTTGGGAGACAAACAAAGAGACATGTGCAGTTGTTAGTGGTTGGTTTAGCCTACCCCGATAAATTGCATGTGGTATTTCACCGGGAAACGTGCTTTGATTGCAACTGAAAGATACCACCACGGAGTTTGGTTGAACAAAACGACAACATTAAAACCGACAAGCTCCACTTGCGCGTCGGAACTTGAGCTCAAGTTGGCTGTTTTTCATCCAAACAATGGACTAACAATGGACTGGCAGTTATAGCACTGATCTCTTCACATTCAAATTACCCGTCCAACTTACAGAGGCATATGGCATCCACCAATTAACATGTTAGCTGACTGCCCAGAAAGGTTTTCCTTAGAATTCACCAGAGTCCACCGAATGAGCTTCTAAGACAAGTTTCATTGTGCAAATGGTTGTTTTGGCAGATTTTGAAGTTGTTATGTCGATTGTGAAAAGTTCAGTAGCTTCGGTGGGATTTGAACCCACGCATGGACGCCGCCTACACTTTGTATGCGCACGCTCCACCAGCTGAGCTACGAGGCCACGCCGATAGCACTGATCTTTTCACATTCTAATTGGATGGGTATATTCGAATGTGAAAAGATCAGTGCTATCGGCGTGGCCTCGTAGCTCAGCTGGTAGGGCGTGCGCATACAAAGCGTAGGCGGTATCCACGCGTGAGTTCGAAGCCCATCGAGGCTACCAAACTTTTCACAATCGACATAACAGTTCCTTAGTTGTCATGAACACTGATAATAATGACGGATATCTCATGAGAATACAGACATGCTTTTTACCATTTATCAGACTGGTGATATTCTGCGCTGTAATGTTCACCCAGTTGACATACACAGTGCCGAATTCGGTTCACTTTTTTCACCCATTTTAGACTGTTCGTCGGAACGAAACGAACATTGATCACGTGTGCCGCGTGCCAACGACCAATCCACGCACAAGATCTAGTGATGCGTGCACTACACGCCATTTATCATTACACTTGCTTTACCTGCCGTCAATGTCATCGATTGCTCCAACCGGGCGAGCATTTCGTCCTGAGGCACGGACAACTAATGTGTAATCATTTGGCTTGTCAAGCCCGTGAGCCGAGGGATCAATCGAGTTTCGAACCCAATTCCATGTCAAATCCCCGATCGACCGAATCCAATTCACATGACTCGAGCGCAACTGGCGAGCCGACCACTCCGCATTCATTTCCGTTCCGGCCATTTGAACAGTCGGAAGAATTGGTGTTGTTGTCGTCGTCATCGGTAGATAAAACCGTATCCCCAAACGAGTCCGATTACGCCAAACGCGATGTGTCGGGATCGAATTTGGGTCAAGATGTTGTTGCACAGATGATTGTGACTTCGGTGTGTGAACAATTTGCGGGTTTTCCCAAACAGACTCAGATGGACGAGGATAATGAAATCGAATCCGGTAGTCCAAATCGAACCTCTCATTCTAATGGTTTTCCCCGTCTTGTATCAACGAATCGTTTTATGTGTGACTTGAACATCAACCCCTTGTATCGTTCTGGTGATCTAATAGAGCCGGAAAATGAAATTCGAACGGACAGTAATACAATGAATCGTCTAGATCTGTCATCAGTCCCACTTCCCTTTCCACAATCCACGTCACCCACACCAGGGGTGTACGGTCTCTTAGCTGAAAACGACTTCACACCAACTGTGATCTATCCCCATTTGAATCGTTCTCCGAAAATGACTCCGCTTCCTCCCGGCGATGTTGGTTCGATGAATCCAAACCCGCTGTTATCTCAAATTCAAAACCGTCTCTGCCCAATTCGAGGGATGAGTCAAGGTGGAGTGTGTGAAGACCTAGCCAAACTGGTCAGTTATTCATCCTTTTTGCCTACGACTGGCGTTTCACCAATTCCGTCCAGTCCACGAATTGGCACAGCCAATTCCCTGCTCAAATTGATTGAGCCGGGCACTTCTATGCTGTATGGACCGAACGGAGTGATCACCGGTCATAGTATCCCGGGTCCAGGACCACTTCTGTTAGCCCAATCGGCACAGAAGAGAAATCGCAAGAGGCGCACGGGTTTGCACCAAACATTTGGTAAGTAGCATACACTTCGATAGTTACGATTCGGCATGATCGGCATGGAGCACACACATGCCACAAAATGTTGGAATACATGACTAGTCCTGTTGTGAGCATTTACAAGCAAGATATATAGCATTTTCCCCCATGTGTGAAAGATTTATAGCACAACTCATTGCGAAAAATTACTCCATTTGGGCTGCTCCCGGCAGTGTGATGAAAGGCTGTAGCAGTAAACCATTTGGATAGGAAAGATTTATTGATTGATCAGGAGAAATAGCTACCCAAGACCAGGAGCTTGGGGTGATGTAGCCCGCCACCACCATCCGACTGTGGTGGTGGTGAGCAGCTTCGCTATCCACCGGGTAGATACAACGCTTATCTTAATAGGGCCTTATGTGATCCACCACATCAAGTCACTGGGTTCAGTCTGCCGGTTATCGTGAGAGAATCGTAGGCGAGAATGAGTTTTATCCTATCTCATACTCAGCAAACAATAATGTGCAATAAAAATATTGATGAGAGGTCTGCATAGATGCCAGCTGAAACTTTAAGGACACATGTGCATCAATAATAGAGTCTTGGTCCGAAACGATTGGGTAGTATACATACTGCTGTTTAAAATTACCCTTTAAATGCGGCGATACCAGACAGCGAGTAATCATGCAAACATCCTCCAGTTGATTTGTTTCTGCTAGCTTTGATCACACATTGGGTTTATATCGTTTTAAAGTGTTTTACAGGAGTACATTTGCTAAAAGTTACTGTGCAAAGCACACCTTGTGATGCAATCGAATTAGTCTGATGTACTTCTCCTGCCATCTTTGCTGTTATGGACTTTGAGATGTGAGAAATGTTATTTGAAGCCCAGCGAAAACCAATTAATTCTGTTTTTCGGGCTGTAATGGAGGATTTATATCCAAAAAAGTGCAAGCCCAAAGTCACGTGAACTGGAAGGCTAAGAAGGGACTGAAGAGCTATTTTTTATTTTGTCGAGCCTCATCAGAAGTACGAATTAGTCGACCCATTGGAGGACCGCGTACCTGGAACCACAGATATATCAAACATAAACATAATACCCACTGAACCAACGAGTGGCAGTTGATCAAACTGTTTCACTTTGTCCGGAGACAATAGAGAGAATTCCACCTTTGCGAGCTAGTAACCACACTCAGCACCAGCCGTTTTAACTGCATATAACTCAACCGTGGCGTGTTCTGATATATATATATATATGTTTACAAAACCCCCTCGAACGACATCATCTCAAGCTAATGCTTCTAAAGTGTCGACTGGAAGTCCAGCGTCAATCTTTTGACGTCAGAGTGTGCACCATCTGGAATGCTCTCCCATCTCACGTCGTTTGTGCGCCAACTGTCGAATCATTCAAACTCAGACTTGATAAAACAACAAGAAACACAAACTAGTTGAAGAACATATCATTTATTATCTCCTATCCGGAACTATATGCGACTTTTGTCATTTTTTGCCGCAATATGATTTAATTGTGAAATTATCCTTTGGGGTAAGAGAAGCTTAAGCATGTAAGCAATTCCCATACTAAGACTTTGACCTTGACTTTAGCCAGTTCCCCTAACCAAAAATAAGTCTTTTTTATCCACATGATTTACTACTACTTACTCACATCATTTTGTGGAGCGCAGTCGATAAGAAGTGATTATTCGCAGTGCCCAGTGCAATAAGCACGTCCCCTAGAAGATAAATGCACTATACCTTATCGATCTAACTCATGATTTAATAACAGGACGTGCCGTTATTTCTCGTCATTCGTTTCTTACCCACGACCACTCTTCCTAATTCACTTAAAAAAGGAAACAAATCTGCTCTACTCATAGTGTCATGGCTGTCTTATTATATTGAAAAAACATTAAACAGCGTTTTTTCTTGATCATGTTTCAACAGTTGACTCCATAGTCCAGATCATTTCTTCTCCAAGAGTTGCAATCATTTGTTTCTCTCCAGAATGTACTGTGTTGCCTGGAAGACTCTCTTTCTCGACGCGAGCAATGGAGCAAAGTTAGCGGCACGTTCGTTATACCTTTAATAAACGACTCAGAAGTCTTGCGAAAAGCTCTTCTTTTAGCCATGGTTTTTCACTCTAGAATACTGATCTCCCGTCAAATTCTGCATATTCTCTCTCCCCTTAGGTGTACTCATGATGTCAGTTCAGATCACAGGATCACGTCGTACTCAGTCATGTTAGTATTTCGGATAATCTTGCTCAAACTCGTAGCTGTTCTATGAGTTTGGGCGCAATTCCTCTAATCTGCATGGAAATGTTTGTGATAACCGACAAAGAGCAGTGGACAGCTGTTTCGTCCTGAGTGCTTGGTGCCTCTTAACAATAGAATGGGCTAGTCCAAGCTTACCACCGGAAAATCAGCATATTTCGAAATATTAAGCACATGAGATCAATGCAACGATCAAATAAAAACATAGTTCAGACTGTTTTGAAGTTGGCAGAAAGAAACATCTTTACTGAAAGGACATTCAATCACCACATCGTCGGTTTATTTTTACACAATGAAGTAGGTTGGAACAGGCAGGTTGTTTGTGTATAAGAATAAAAGAATGGAGACAGAATGGTGCCCTGAAAAACACCAGAGATAACAGAAAAAGAGAACGAAGGTCTATCATTGCATGAAGCCAATTGTGTTCTGAAAGAGCAGTAGTTTAGAAGAATGTTTAACATGTGATTTCTTAATCTGCACTCAGCAAGACGTTAGAGAACCATGTAACGGGCAAGCGAACCAACGACGCTGGCATAATCAGAGAAAATAAGGCGAACAGTTCCAGTACTCCTATCTAAAACTGAGGTCACAGAATGGACAACATACGCGACAGCGTCAGCAGTTGAAAGGACTCGTTTATAAGGTAGTCAACCGGTTCAACAGCACTCTTTCAAAGACTTTCACCAGGGCTGAGGTACAGACAATCGGTCGATACTTTGAAGATCCTTTCTTGGGACTGGGTCTTATCCGGACAGCCCTCCAGTAATCTGGCATTGTTCCGGAGGACATAAACTAGTTGAACAACTCGACAGTGGGCGCTGCAAAGTGTTCCCCACCAATTTTCAATAAAATGGGAGCTAATGAGTCCGGTTCACGGGTCTTGTTAGACTTAATTTGCTTCAAAACTTTGAAAACCCCAGTAGGAGGAAAAGGGTTGATGATTTTAGGGAAATTGAGGCGGACAGTAGATAATTGGAACCAGAGGAGACAAAAAAATTGTCGATTTAGTTGTTCTGCGTCAAAAATAGGAGCTCCCACGTGTGCCACAGAGTTGCTTCAACGCCAACAACATCTCGTGACATATCTGGGTGCCCGGAATGATCTCGACATACACCCGATTCAACCGCTGAATCTCTACCTTCATGGCAATCGATAGTCGTTTAGCATCATAGCGCCTGCCGTTCATAAATCACTTTTTCTTGTCACGGCGAAAACGCTTTAGAAGAACTAATGAAAAGCTCTCAGTACAGATATCTGCAATCCCAATGGGGTAACAAAGATTGAAACAGAAATTAAGAGTTGTTTGTATTTGGAAGAATTATTGGAATGGGGGAAAACAGCAAAATCCTGGAGTCTACTTAGATTACTGGGTACAATTCTTCTTTCGTATTGTCCGGGATGCTACCTTTACTTGTTGGCGATGATACCGTGGATTTTATGGTGTCAAAGAATTAAACAGTGGTCAGACGTACTAATGGAGGCTCATTTTTTAATAAACAAGACTTATCTGATATTTACAAAAATGCCGTCAAGCTGGGCCTCCACACGAGTGGGAAAGTGCCTAAGATTAACTAAATCTAAAGTCCTCAAGTCTGTCACGAATTTTGTCGATAAAGAGTCGGAAAACATTCGGATATCAGAAATGGGCGTGTCAGGGGCAATGTAGATGTTTGCTAGTATGACAAGATGAAATTTACTAAGAAAATGGGGTTTATATTGAACGGCAATGCAGTTGAATTTTCCGGTATCAAAATACTATATACATCCTATATACACGGCGAATTCACTTTTGAAATTGAGTCAGATGCTCCTCTTCTCACGTGAAGGAAGTAATCAGGTTGTAAATAATTCGAAACGCGTCATAACCCCGGAGGCTAGTGCTGAAATGAGCGGGTTCTGTGCCCCCCCCCAACAAGCTCGCAAAGATGGATTGTGCTATATCGTGTAAATGGAAAATGCCCAGTGGCCGAATGGGTAGCAAGCTTACGTTCTATCTGTGAGTTCCCGGGTTCGATCCCCAGTAAGGTCAATGGATTCGCACTGCTGATGTGACCCAACCAGGTCGAAACAACTGTCCGGCGCTTCCCAGCTTTTCAGTTCACCTTTAATTTGCTATATACACGACAAATTCACCTTTGAAAATGAGTTGTTACACCACATACGGTTGACAAAGATAACTACTCCACTACCTATTTTATTGAAGTTCATAATCCGATTACTTCGATAGATGTCAAATCCATCAAGCTGAATACCTCCGCACTCCATTTCAGAATACAACCAACCTTCCTGGAGCACAATAATTCAAACGTTGTTGTACAATTTTTCACGTATCGTACTCTTAACTATATCAATTTTTCCCCCGAAGTGAGCGGATATTACTGAAAATAATAACAGAACAGCCAGTCTGTTGATGGAATGCCACCTAGAAGCGACCCTGCAACCAACACGATGTCTCATCTGCAGTCATTGTCCCCTCTTTCTCAATTGCCTGCAGTGGTTTTTCACACAATATGCAAAACACGAAAGTTGGTGTTCACGCGTGATAAAACGCAAGGTCAAAAATGAGAGGCCGTAGGATAGCATTTGACCTTGAAAACTGAATGAATTGATTCGATAGAGTTTGTAGAGAAGATAATGCAGTTTTCCACTGTAAGATCAAGAAAATATCAGATGGTAGTATGGGCACGGTCGAATTTGCAAGGCTCCACTTAAATCTCGCTTTGTATACGGCAGCATATACCATTGGATAGTTCACGCGCTGCACATAAGTACGACAGGACTGATTGTGTGCACAATTTAACACTGCCAAGACAGCGAGGATGTGACTGACAGATTATTTTGTACACACAAACAAGGATTTCACGAACCTGAGAAGCCGGGGACTGTTGTGTGATTTAGCGGTGCTGAACATGTGGTTCTGTCATGTTCTTAGCGCAAAGATGAACTGTCAAACGATGTAGACTCCTGTGTTATTTGTCGTCATTCAAACTAGGTTAATCCCATTCACTTGTAGTTTTTCCTCCGGAAGCGATTTCGAAAAATCACGCGGAAATTTTCCAGACCATATACGATCTCTATAAAATTGAACACGAGATCGTTCAACCATTGATGTGCACCGCAATTTGAGCAAACGATCAAGCACCCGCGTAGTAGAGACAGGGAGTCTTCCGTTTAGAAATCTTAAGCACTGAGTCCCGTTTTCCCATTTCATCAATACAGGAAGAAGACAAATGTCACGATATAGTAATATTTCGTCTAATCTTCTCAATCGCTAACTCAAAACAAACGAGCACATATATAACACATGGGGTTGATCAATTATGGTGAACGAGCGTGTAAAGCAGACAAAGATTACCAAATATATGTAAAAGTAGAAGGTCAGTTACATGGTAGGCGGACTGATTATACCACAAACTTTTGTGTGCATAATGTCGAGTGACGTAATCGAATAACCAGTGCTTCACTTATTGCCAAAAGTTTAGTATTGTGATCATTTAATAGTGGTTTAAAAGAAGAATTGGGGTCCATTGGGTGTCTGATTGTTTTTGGTAGTTAATGACAGACAAATATCGTTTTGAACTGTGAAGTGATCGGTAGCCTCAGTGGATTTCAAACTCACACATGGATATCGTTTCCTTTTTTACAGTGCGTACTCTATCAACCCATTTACAACAACGGAACTGGAGCACTGATCTTTCACATTTTTATCACACAAACAACCTACAGAGGAATATGGAATCCACCGATTCACGTGAACTATCCACCCAGACAGGTTTTCCTTCAAACCTACCTAATGAATTAAAACGACTGCGTTTTCTGTTCATACTGTATTATTTGGTGGATAATAGAAGTGTGTGCTGTACAAAAACGTAGTGTCAATGTGTGGAT